TACTACCTGTTCACCCGTCCAGCATCAGATGCTATGAACAGGAGGACAAACAGCAAAACTTCAGGTCTGGTCTACCAGCTTAGCAATCCACAACCAAGTTTCACACCACATATCAAATGGTAATATTTTACAAGCTTAAACTATGGGCTCAAACTATCAGCTTAATCTGCTAATTTAAAAAGTTCAATTTAAAAATTATCTAAATTTTATTTTAATTGATTATAGCAAGCATTTGATATTATTAACTTATACAGTTTTCATTTAAGAACAAATGTAGAAAATACTAAATGATATACCAAATGGCAGTATAACAGCATACGAAAAAATCATAAAAGTTTCTACCTACATAATAAACTTTAAATGTATAATTTAAAAACACTGTATAGTAGTCTTAATTGTCAGAATTATATAATCCACTTATTTAAAGGTTAATTTTAGTAAAAATTTGCAGAGTGAGCAATATAAAATAAAAAGCAGCTAAGGAAAAAAAAGCTCTAAAAGATTAGAGATAAATACAGACAACTAACAAGCTATATCTCCATGCTTTGGTATTCTGGATACACATACAATCCACCTAAAATGCCACAAAACGTTAGCTGCTTATGGTTAAGTATTGAAATGCTATGACATTGCGTGTCACTTCAGAAAGGTTATGGAGAATGGCCAAGTTCCAGCTGTCGCAGGCATTTGGAGAGTGAACCAGCAGATGGAAGACTGTCAGCTGCTCTTTCAAACAGATCAAAAATTAACATTCAAAAAGTATCAGCATTAGAAATCTAGTTTAAAAAGGGAAGAAAGCCCTCTGACTCATCTAATTGCCCAGCCCACAGCTGCCAGGCTGGACCTGGAGACTCAAATGACTCAGTTCTGTTTTCCCTCTTGATTTTCCTAGTCTCCAGAAGCCTCTTCCGGCATGGCAAGAAATACGGCCGCAGGGTTATAGGATTCTACCATAAACACCAAGAACTCATCCCTACAGCTTACTACCTGCAAAGTTAAAGGCCTTCTATCCCCTGAAGAATCTACCAAATCCACCAGAAGGATTCAAACTCCTCATGCCTACCAGAGAAACCAGGCTGGCCAAACCGCATATCCACCGCTGAGGAGGAGCAGGAATAGATGCGATTACAGATCCACTCGGGACCACCTGCTGCCAGGAGGGCACCTCCCCAGGCACAGTATCTCTGCACCAGCACATACATCTCCCTGAAATGCACAGAGCTTTTTGGGTCCAGAATAGCTCATTTTACTCATTGTTTTCCCCCATTCATGTATTAGATTTGCAGCTACAGCTGGATTTATATTTCTATAGAGTAAGTTACTTATCTATCTAAGAAAAAGGTGGTTAAGTCTAGAAGTTAAGACAGAGGATAAGAAATCCAACTGCCTAGATTTAAATCCATGCTCCACAATTTACCTTACACATGCTACTTCTGTTCTTCCATTTCCTATGAAAATAGGTTGACAATACTACCTCACAGGATATTGTTAGGATCTAATGAATAAATGAAAATGTGCTTGGGGGCAGGATTTGGGCACAGCACTTAAGACAGCACATGAGACACCCACACCCCATAGCAGAGTTCCCAAGTCAAATCCAGCTAGTCTGCTTTTGAACACGACTCCATTTTCTTTCTTTCCACACATTATCACTGACAAGTAAACGTTTCAGTTTATACATTACACTGCTGATTGCTGGTCTCCTCCATATACAACGCATGCCTCACAAAAGCAGGTCGTGTTGTTTGCTTTATTCACTGGTATACACATACTTCCCTACATGCCTGACGTTACATTCTCAACAGATGCACAGTAAATTAAGTTTTTATTCAATGAAATTAATTCCACACTCAATTTCACCAACTACATTTCACAAAAACATGCACTGTAACTTTAGACCCTACTTGTCATTGTTCAGATGGAGGAAAACAGCCTGATGGGACAGAAATGGATATGATGTCCCATGAAACTGAAGAGACCATCACTTGAAAATGACAGCAGTGGACACTGTGGGGCCATGAGCCAAGCTGCCACCTCGTGTGGCATGCCGGCATCTCGTGTCACTGTGCTTGGCCAAGGCCTCTGTTTCTGATCCCACATCTTGCTGATGCACCTGGGAGTCAGAGATGACGGGCCTAAGGTGCCTGGCCTCCTGCCACCCATGTGGGAGACCTGGGGCAATCTCAGCTATTTCCAAGTGGAACATCTGTGTGTGAGAGAGACTTTATCAATCAATTAAATTTCTCATAACAAAAAAAGAAAATTTATACTGACAGAATATCTGATACATAAATCACTAATCTTCTATTAAATTACCAAAATGCAGATCAATTACCATAATCATAATGTCCAAAGTCCAGAAAGTAACTCTCCTAAAAAATATGCTAGACTTTTAGTAACAGAATTGGTCTAAAGATACTAATCATTTCTTTCACAAATAGGAAAATAAAATGTGTGAGTTTTAGTAATTTTTCCTGGATGAAACTACTATGTATAGAAGAGCTAAGGGCTCTGGCAGCTGCCTGAATGAAACAGAGGACAGGTTTCTCCTCACGTACAAACACAGCAGCATCCACAACACGAAGAAGGTCCTACAACACGTCTCCTCCTGCTTACAGCAATCTACGGACCATGACTGGTGACCACCTTCTGGAACCTACAAAATCAGACTTCTATTCATATTAAATAAACATTCATTACAGGCTTGTCTTAGTTCATATGTAATAATATTCCAGGTTTCCACTCTATGAATTTTTTAAAATCTTATTGATTTGTTTATTTTACCTGAAAGGCAAACGGAGTTCTCCTATCTGTCGGTTTACTCTCCTAAGTGCCCACAACAGCCAGTACTGGGTTAAGATAAAGCCAGGGGCTGGGCCAGGCTGAAGCGAGGAGCCAGGTACTTAACCCAGCTTTCCTATACAGGTGGCAAGAAACCAGCTGCTTGAGCCATCACTGCTGTCTCCCAGGGTGTCCATGAGCAAGGAACTGAAATTGGGAGAATAGGGACTCAAGCCCAGGCATCAGACACAGGGCAGTGGCATCTCAAATGGCATTCAACTGTTGCAATAGACACAAACTCATGCTTGTTAACAACATTTAAAATACTTCATCACACCCCAAAACCACCTCTGGCAACCAGCGATCTTTCTTCTGTCCTTACATATACGCCTTGTCCAGCAGGGCATATAACTGCAACCACTCAACATGCAGGCTCCGTGTCTGGCTTTTTCCATCTAGCTAGGGCTTTTCAGAATCAGGTTTTTGCTCTATCAGGAGCAGGCTCCTTTTTATTGCTGAGTACAGATATACCACTTTGCTTATCTAATTATCAAACGATGGCTATTTGAGTTACTTCCAGGTTTTGGCAATTACAAATAGTACTACACTCACATAAATATTTTCAAATAGATATAAACTTTCATGTCCCTTGAACTTACAGCTATGAGTGGAACAGCTAGGTTATGCAGTAAGTACATGTTTAACTTAAGAAATTGCCAGAATGTTTGCCAAAGTTGCTGTACCACTTAATGTTTTCTACCAGCAAGGTCTAGGAGTCCTGTTAGCTTGAAAGCTTTGCTGAGATTTAGTATTACGGGCTTTTTAAAGTGATATCTCACTGTGTGTGTGTGTGTGTGTGTGTGTGTGTGTGTGTGTGTGTGTGTGTGTGTGTGTGTTTAAGATTTATACTGAGAGGAAGATCTTCCATCTGATGATTCCCTACCCAAGTGACCACAAAGGCCAGTTCTGTACCAATCCAAAGCCAGGAGCCAGGAACTTCTTCCAGGTCTCCAATGCAGGTGCAAGATCCCAAGGCTTTCAGCCATCCTCAACTGCTTTCCCAGACCACAAGCAGGGAGCTGGATGGGAAGTGGAGTTGTCAGGATTAGAACCTGCGTCGATATGGGATCCCGGTGTGTTCAAGGTGAAGACTTTAGCTGTTAGGCCACTGCACCACGCAACACTAAGACTTCACTGTGGTTTTAATCCATACTTTCTTATTGACTAACGACAATGAGCATCTTTCCCTGTATCATGGAAATCCTCACAATAGAGAGTAAACAATTACTCTCAGAAGGTATTAGCAAGTCAAAGATGGAGGTAAAACATGTTAAAAGACTTGTGAGATGGGCCAGCTCGGTGGTATAGAGGGTAAAGTCACCATCATCCCATATGTGTGTCAGTTTGAGTCCTGCCTGTTCTACTTCCAATCCAGCTCCCAGCTAATGCACCTGGGAGAGCAGCCAAGGATTGCCCAAGTATGCTGGCCCCTGCATCCTGGCTCCTGGTTTTGGACCAGCCATTATAACCTTTTGGGGAATGAACCAGTGGATGGAAGATCTTGCTCTCTCCCTTTCTGCCTCTTCCGCTCTAATTCTGCTTTCCAAATACATACATATACCTTTTTTAAAAATTGCAATAATATATTAAAACACATAAAGTACCATTATAAATCTAAGAGACTACAATTATCATTAAGAACTAGAAAGCTATACAGCATCAAAAGAATCAATGTGGGCCCTTTAACTCTCCCCAGCAGGGAATGAATGACACATATTAACTCCGACCTGACCCAGAGCCAACTCTCCGGAATCCAAGCAGTCTTCAGAGCTGAAGACAAAGTCCAGTTCCCAGCACCACTTTTCTCTTCATAACTAACATAATCAACTTCTGATTGGCCACCTTCTGAGCTGATTCCTCTTCCTATGACTGACTCTCACAATCAAAAAAAAAGTCTTCAGGCTACTAAATACTGAGAAGATGATTAGCCCACTTGTCTTTCAAGAGCCTCTATCTTTAAATGAGAAATGGAAAAATTTTTAAAGAATCTTTACATAGGAGTTTCAAAATAAAAAGTAAAAACAAGAATAACTGTCTAAAATTCATCAGAATATCTGGATAAAGAAGAAGGTTCTAGATCTCAGTAAGCTCTCCAGGACCATTTTAGGTATCTACACTCCAAATGTGATAACCAATGGGCAAAACCATTATTGGCTTACCTTCCTTTCCTTTAACAGCTTCTTATAACCACTTGATCCAAGTGATAGCAAAGTAATGAGGACGTCTAAAGATGGTGACGCTGAAGCTCTTCCTGAACAAAGATGGACAAATTCCATTAACGGGAGCAGTGGGAAGCTTTGGAAACTAAGATGCATTATAGTAGCCTAGGTACAAATGGATTTCTGTGTGTTGTGTTACTTTTTCTTAAGAACGACTCATTTATTTACCTGGATACATCTTGCTGATTTCCTGAATGAAGGTATCGTTAAAGCCAGCAATTATGGCGCCACCTACTGGAACCATAAAATTTTTGTCCAAGCTCTGTACGAAAGCGTCTATTCTACCAACCCGAGCTCCCTAGAATCGAATAATGTATAACATTACATACAGGAACAAACAGCTGCTACTAACAAATTAGATCCCACAACAAAAGAAACGACAAGTACATCAGGTGATAACTGTGGTGATAATTAGCCTGACTTAACCATTACAGAACACACCTTTGTATCAAAACAACATACTGCAACCTACAAATAAATATTTTTGCTTGCTAACAACTCTTAAATTAAAAAAAGGTTAAAACAATGCAGAAAATAGAATTCATAAAAATTTCACTAGAAAAAGACTGCATATTTTATAATTATCCAATAAAAATTTTTAAGCATTAAACCAAGTTTTTACATCATGCATCATACATCTGACATGCAGAACAGCACTGTCTAGTCTATAACCTGCTTTCGCACATAAATCACTTACCCTCAACAACAACCCTGTGAAGTAGACAGCGTTTCAGCGTAAGTCCAGGTGGGGATTTTATCAAAGCAGAGCTTCACACTTTAACACTGTGCTGCAGAGAAGGGAGTGCCCACACCTCCCCTCCACGGTCAGTATTTACAGTGGGGGCCACAATTATTAAGCAGTTTCAAACACCCTCTATGGGTTCAAGGGTGACCACAATAATCTAACATCAGCCAGGCTGGCAAACATGAAGAGCCTGCCTCTGACAGCCACACACTCCACCACCTGTTTGAGCACCTGAGGCAGCAAGCTCCGCTCCTAGTATGACTCAGGGAACAAGGGAGAAAAATGACATTCTTGACATCAACTAACGCCAGCTCCACACATATACGTGTGACAGTTCCAAAAGCCATGTTTCTGTGTAATTCACGTGCCCTCATATGGTAATCTTAGATGATCGCCTTGCACTGCAAATGAACTTCAAAATGAAAAACCTAATACTCTAGTGAAAAACTGGATTTTTACCTAGAAATAGAAACCAAATTCTGGTCCACATCCAGCACAGTCTATGACCTTCTGTCTAAAGTACTTCATTTTTGCCCTCTTAAAAAAAGATACTATCTAAATTTTAACTAAGGTAGCTTTTTTTTCTTTATCTGCAGCCACAGAATTTCAATCTGTATTCACAATCTACATTCCTTTTAATATTACAGCCACATTTGACCTTCCCTTTCACCATCTTTTCACATCCATATCTCAGAGGAATAGCAGCAGAGTGCTGGTCTAACCTAAGAGACCAGACCCAGGCAGCAAGCAAGCAGGGGCGGTTGACTGCCACCGAGGCTATCACCCGCGTGTGTAAATCTCACCTTCCCCTGCTACCTTCCTATCCCCCTAACAAGAATCCCACCCTACCACAGGACACCAGAAAGAAGTATTCAAGAGCAACAGAACACATAACTGAAAAACACATGAGAGGTAGCATGTAAAAATAAAGGGGGGCAAGTCAGAGCGGCTTTAGGTTACCATTTACACACCATCCCAGGCTCCTGAGAGAAAACTGAACCTAAGCTGTGAGCAGTTCTACAAAGAGGGCACCAGGGCACCAGGACCCGCTCTCCACAACAGCCAAGGCAAGGGGACAGGGACCTCTTTTTCCCTTCAAATCAGTGACCACCCAACCACAAAGGGGAGAATGCCAAATGGATGGAAAAGCTGAGGTAAAACTAGAAACTTTTCACGTCTGCTAAATGAAAGGCTCAGCCCTCTATCCACTCCTTTACTCACTCACAGAACAGCTGAGCACCTGCCACCTGCCAAATGCTGCTCTGAGCTGGAAAGAGCAGCTGGGAATACAACAAAGTTTTCACATAATAACTACCACCAGAACTTACACACGAATTCACTATGGATCAGGCATTATTTCAAGCTCTGGGTACATGACACATGGAGCCCTCACCATAACTATAAGAAGCAAATGATACTGTAATACTACCTATTTTACAGATGAAAAACAATCAAGGCACAATGGTTTTAAAGTGACCTGTTCGAGATCCACTGGGATTCAAACCAAGGCAGATCAGCCACACTATGAAGTCTAGCCAGGCAATAAAAGACACAGCAAGGACAAAACCCCAAATAACCTGGCTGAAGGCAGCCTAATTAAAGGTAAAAAATGTAACTCCTGAGGCACTAATGCTCTTCCTGAATTATCACTTCCTTGCACCCTGCATCCACCTCAACAGCCTGCTCAGAATGACCGGAACCCAATCACTTCTCACCCCTTCACAGCCGGTGCAGCACACCAGCGCCTTTCACACGGGCTGCTGGAACACCTTGCACTCTTGCCTTCCTACACTCCAGTCGCCACCTGATACCTGTCACTGTATTGCTCCAAACTCCTCACTGGCTGACAAGCATACCAAGAATTAAAATCCAAAGCCTTACTGAGCACAGCTCAAGTCCCCATGACCATTGTTCCCCATATCACCACTGGGGTCCAGCGATTCCAGCTTTCTTCCTATTTCACACACAGTTCAAACACACGCTTAGCACTTGCTGCTACCTTCTCTCACTAGAGAGCTGCACAGTTCACTCCTTCATATCATTCAGGGTGCTGCTCAAAGATTATTTCCTGAAAAGGCCAGCCCGGATCACCCCACTTAGTGTGACACTCCCATGCCCCAATACCAGAGCCTTTATCAAGACCTGCTGTACCCGCTTCCTGTCTGCTACCCCAGGAAAACAGGATGCCAGGATGCTCCCTGCAAGCAGGACTGTGTTGGCATTTACCACCACATTCCCAGCACAAATTCTGCTGCACGGCCCACCAGCAGTAACCCTGGATGTATTTGTTAAACGAATGTCAGTGAATCAAGTCTGTGAATAAGTAACACTTCTTCCAAATTCTTAAAGTTGCTGCTTCCAACTACATTTGAAGCTACAGTTCTTTCTTCACTGACTGATTCATTACTATCCCAAGAAAGATTTGCAGTTTTTATTTTTAAAGGAAAATATGGGGTTTGAAGTCAAACTGAGATGTATAAAGACTTTGACAAGTTACAGGATCCTGGGCAAGTTACCAAATCCCACTGAGTTTGTTTCCTTCATCTCAGAACGGGAACAGTAAAAAGTACACACTAAATTGCTAGAATCAAGTTCATCGGCAGCAGAGGCCTAAGAGGGTACCTGACACAAGGCAGATACTCAGTAAATGCTATTACCAACAAGAACTACTGAGGTGAGTTAAAGTTAACTTAAAGTTCTTAGAATGTCATGAAACAGTAACAGGCAGAGTGCCTGGGTTTCAGTCCCAGCTCCACTTCCATCCAGCTTCCTCCTAATGTGCACCTGCTAAGGTACTAATGTGCTCAAGTAGCTGGGTCACTGTTATCCCTGTGAGACCCAAACTGAGTTCCAGGCTTCTGGCATCAGCCTGGCCCACTCCCAGCTGCTGCAGGCATTTCAGGGAGTAAAATCAGCAGATGGAAAATAGCTTTAAGCTTGTCTCTCTGCTTTCCAAACTAATAAATATTTTTTTAAAAAAGAAAAGAAAACTGATGAATATGGCAAAATGGGAAAGGGGGCATACAAAACACTAACAAGGAGGGGTGAGGTGTTATTTTAGATAGGATATCTGAGGAAGGTCTCATTAGCCTGTAACAAAGCAAAAGCAAAGATATAGAATAATCAAAACAGCAAAAGCCTGGAAGTGTACACACGTACAGCAAAAGAAGGAGAGAGAAGAAACAAAACTGGAGAAGCAGCTGAGGCTCAAACACATCCAACCTTGCAGGGCACAATGCTGACTCTTCTGAGCAGTGACGGGAAACAGTCATGTTTCTATACTAGAGATTAGCTGACAACAGTTGATCACAATCTAGCTGAAGATAATAAAAACAAAACAGAAATACCTGTCAACTAGTATAAGAGTGTCGATAAATGAAGTTATTTCTATTTTTTAATAACAAAATAAAATAACTTCTTAAAGAAATAAGCTACACAGATTTAATAACAAGGTAAAATAATTTCTTAAATAAATACGCAACATGGATCATACGAGAAAGATGAGGACGCTGAAAATGAAACATTCTCAAAAATTTAAAAGCTAAGTTATTGGAATATTTGTACATTGATTCTGGGCTACCAAAACTAGGATACCATATTGTCAGGGTAGTGACTTCTACCGAAAGACTTTCCCATGATCCCAGAAGCAGAGGGTGCTGTTTTGACTATACTAGATTGTAAGAAAAAGAAATAGTCTTGTAAAGTGTCCCAATCCAGTTTTTCCTGACTCCTTCGGGATGCGCTTACCTGCTGAATGAGATGCATGCACTTGGAAGACTGCAGTCCGTAGGCATTGTTGACTATGTGGGGAACGCCATAATTAGCACAAATCACAGCCAGTTCTTTTACTCTATAAACATAAATATTCAACAGAAACACATACTCAACCTGTGTTTTATAAATTACAATGTAGAAACTTGGTTTTAATTTAATAGCCATCCTTAATGTAGACTAGGAAAAAATGACAAACTCTTAAATTTCTACTGTAGTATTTTAGCATATAATCAGGTAGCTTAGAAAAACAGAGCAAGGCACTTTAGAATAAACCTCAGAAGGCTTTTAAATTAATATTACCAATAAATGAGAAAAAATGTATTTATGAAAATTTATGTAGATGGTAACTATGGAATCATTTTTAAATTTCCTATGTAAAAAGTAAGATTATTAGTAATGACCCCTCACAAGGTGGTGTGATTTATTTTACATGTGAAGTTTAGTTATCTGAGAATAATTTGCATATCTAAAAATCTTAAGAAATTTAACATCAAATGCTTTATGAAATATGCATTTTCAAATAGTTTTTAATGTATTAAAAAATACAGAACATTAAAATGTTTCAGTACCAAAATAACATTTTCAGGAAACTTGAATGCTTAAGAAATCTTTTAAATGGTGATGGGTTTTAAATCCACTCTTACCCACTCTTACTTTTTCTCTTTACACCTCTCCTATTTGGGAATAGGACAATTTGGGAATCTATGCAAAGTAAAGTAATAAACTGGAGCTGGAGCAGAATACAGACTCACTATTTACAAAACCAAACGCTATTGGTGACTGAGGTCACTCTAATAGAATGAAAACAAAACTAAGTCCTATGAGTTAGTAAAATTAATTCTTTCAAAGCTTTCCTTCAAAATGGAAAACAATCAGAAGAGGCCAGCACTGCAGTGCACTGCATTAAGTCACCAACCACCTGGGCCACAGGTTTCCCATATGAGTGTTGGTTAGTTAGAGTTCTAGCTGCTCCACTTCAGACCCAATGTTCTGCTAATTTGCCTGGGGAAGCAGTGGAAGATGGCCCTAATACGTAGGCCCCTGTCACTAACATGGGACACCTGGATGGAGTACCCAGCCCCTGGTCTCAACACAACCCAGACTTGGCCACTGCGGCCAATGGAGAATAAATCTCTCCCTACTCACCTCCAACTCCCCAGCCCCCACCCACCTTCCCTGCTCTCTAAAACTCTGCCTTTCAAATAAATCAATTAATTAATTTTAAAAAAACACAAAATTTAGAATCAACAGCAGGCAATTAGCCCTAAGAGTGTGACACCTACAGCCTGTGCCTGATTAGGCTTCACCCCTGGCTGCAGCACCTGACTCCAGCTTCCCACTGATGCTAACCTGGGAAGCATCAGTGATGGCTGAGGCAGCACCAAAATCCACATGGGAGGCGTGGACTAGTCCTTGCTCCCAGCCCAGGCCTGGCTGCTGAGAGCATTCGGGGAGTAAACCAGTGGACAGGAGCTTTCTTGGTCCTGACTGCCTGTGTCTTTTTTTCTGCCTGCCTCTTAAATATTTTTTTTAATTAGCAGGAAGGAATTTTTATACAATAAAGGTTCTTTTCTAAAGGATGTATTTCAAGTATACACTGTACACTTTTATTACTTAATTATGCTTGATATATTTTCTAGTAGATATAAATTAATGTTTTAAAAGTATAATTAGAAATTATTGTGTTCACCTGTCAGAAGTCTTCAATTTGCTTCCCTGAAGTTTTATGAATTAAAAACTCATTTTATCCTTCACTTTCACAAACCTCATAAATCAATACAGAAATCCTTTCTGTTACTTACACTAATCAAATGGTGTTTTTAACAAAGCAGACCTTCTGGGAGACACCTATCTTTCCTTATGAAGATAAAAGGTACTTTCACATAGTGATCTAATAAAAGCATTCCTGAACAAAAAGCCTCTATAAAGAGATTCTAGAATAATATCAAAGCTCTATCCTGAAAAGCAAGTCACTTGTGAGTAGTTGAAAATACCTTCAACTCATCAAACATGTTAATAGCTAGGATATTTAAACAGTATTACGTGAAAGGCAAAGAAAGAAAAATATTTTCCAGGTAAAAATCAAATTGTATTCAACAACTTAAAGGGCTTTTCAGTTAAAAGAAACGATAACCTTGTCTTCTTTAAACGTGTCTTTTAAATGAATTTATCCAACAACAAGCTCATCTAATTAATTAACTAATAAAGACAAAATAAGTCCATGAAGATTGTGAAGGAATTAAGCTTGAGCTAAGGAAATCATAATGTAGTAGTTTTTAAGCTTAATAAAATCAGAAATGCAAAGATGCTTCCATTCCCCTAAATTTCACCTTACATTATTTACATAACACTACTTAGAAAATAACAAATAATTTTTCTGACTGACAAAAAAAGTCTATGGTTTTCTCAAATAAAGATTATATATGTAAAATTATTATTATCACATCAGGCATATCATAAACATTCAAAAAACGTTACAGTCGAAATGAAACAAAATTAAAACTATTCTCAAGAATTATGTAATATATCTACAACCAATTTTAATTCTATCACATGACAATTTTTAGATATCAAGAATATCAATGCTGAAATATAGATATTTAACAGTTGAATATGAATTCTAAATGATCCATAAACACTTGTAATATAACTTTAAAACAATTCACAAGTGCATGACAGTAGCAAAGTGAAGTTTTAAGAACATGGTTTTAAGATTGTTTCTTAAAATCTGCCTATAGTAAAAGTTAATATGCATTCATTACTGCCAAATAATGTGATTCCATAAGAACCAAAGTATAACCTGTTGCTAGAGAAGTCTAGTGAATACAGATCTGAAATCACTAGCACTTCTGCTGTAAATGTGAAAATGCAGCAAGCAAAGTTGCTTTTCAAATCAGAGAGCTACATTGCTAGACCTGAGCCTGTATTCAGGATAAAAATCTATGGCTTTCTTCAGAAAACATTCATGTTTTCCTTTTGCTTTGATTCTTTACCGGCATTATTGCCAAAATGGAAGCAATTATTGGGTACAGTTAAGTGTATACCTGAGTTAATCATACTAAAAAGTCAAAGGAAATCATATAATCCTAACATTTTTCATTTTTAATATGTTAACACTGATAATTTCTACATCTAAAAACTAACTGTAAGATCAAAGAAGCAGGGATTGCAATGAAAACAAGTATAAAGAAACTTCTATTTTAAATAATAAGGGAAAAAATGCAAGCAATCAGAAACAGGATAAAGAGCCAAATGCCAGACATTGCGTCTAAGTGGATCTCTGCACCTATTACTTGTGTTTGCCCTGCATGAAGCTGTTATTTTCTAAGCCTTTACACTAACTCTCCACGAGGTCCCTCTTCCCTCAGGACAGAACAACTGACATCTCACTGCCCAGTGTCATTTCACTCTTGAAAACAAGCATGTTTAAAAGACCGATCAGCACCTAAGGTTAATGTTCATAAACCACTCACCTATCTGGCACCCTTGGAGCAAAGCAGGACGTGGTGGAATGAACACAGAGAACAGAATCAGGCCCAAGCTCCTGGATCTTGGCTTCTACTGCTCTCAGGTCAGTGCGTAGTTCATCACCTTCCAAGACATTCTCAATCACCACGGGCTCAAAACCTACCCAAGGCAAGCAGAAACCAAATGTCAGGGGACACTAAAACAAGGGAAAAACCTAAAACTCGAGGAAGCAGTACTATTCTACTAACACTCTCAATCCTAACTCTGGCTGCTGAACCTTCTGCTTGTAATGAAAACCTGGCTCAATTCTGAAATTAATCAAAGGCAGGTCAAAATTAAGCAAAAAAAGCAACTATTCAATGAACCCACCAAGCTAACTTTTTGATACAACAATAAGAATTCTGGGATTCAGAATTGTGGCAAGTGGTTAAGCTGCCACTGCAACATTAACATCGTCCTGGGGCTCTGATCCAACTGGGAAAGCAGTGGAAGAAAGCCCACGCACATGGGCCCCCGTGTCCCTGTGGGACACCTAGATAAAGCCTTTGCCTTCGATCTGACCCGGCACCGGTTATGCCAACTACTGAGGAGTACATCAGCAGACGGAAGAGCTCTCTAATTCTTCAAAAGAAAGGAAGAGAGAGAGGGAAAGAAAGCAAGCAGGGAGGGAGAACGAGAGAGACAGAGTGGATGAACAACTCTGGGGTGAGCGTCTGGCCTGGAGGCTAGGGTGCCAGTTGGGACACTCACTCCCCTGCACCTCTATGCCCACCACTCTCATGGGAGACCACACCAAGTTCCAGGACTTGGTTTGGCCCACTGCTCATGGGAAAGACCCACACTAAACTCAGGGACTGGCTTGGCCCAGCCTCAGCTGCTTCCAGCTCGGAGTACTGTTGCTCTACCTCCCAAATACATTAACAAAAATAAACACACAAACAAATAAAAATGTAGTAATTGTGAAAACAAATGATAAAAAGTTCTCTACAGAAATAAGACACTGATGACAAAAAGGATTACTTAGTCCAGTTCAACTTCTGTATAAAGAGAAATCTGTTCAGCCTCCAGCAACAAGGGTCATTTTTATTTTGTAGCAACATAAATATAATTAGAATACCGAAACACATCACCATCTGTGGGGAGCGGGCGCTAAAGCTGCTCCTGGGATTTGGGAAGGGCCGTTGCAAGACGGCAGCTGGCCCAGGGCCAGGAGGTGGAGTTGGTCTCACCAGCAGGTAAAGAGGAAGTCACAGGGCTAGGCTAATGCCCCTGCTGCGATTATGTCATTGCCTATCACATAGCACCAAGTGGGCCCACGGGGAGAAGCGACTGGTGGAGAACGATATAAAAGTAGCCGGTAAAAGCTAGGTGGAGGACGATGAAGGACGAGCTTGACGATGGACAGACAGTAAGACAGACAGATGACCACGACAGAGAAAGACTGGGGAGTGACGAGGAGAAAGACTGGGAGCTGACGAGGAGAAAGACTGGCGAAAGAACAACGGACAGAACAGGAAGAATGGGGCAGCAGAGCGGAGAAGAAGGGTTTAGATCTTCGGGTGGAAAAGTTAAGGCGTACGGGGAGGAAAAGCGGTAGAGAGGGATACAGAAGTGGTACGGAGAGACCAGGACAAGAATGGAGAAATGCAGCACAAAGTACAGGAGGAAGAACGGGAAGAAGGGTGGCAGAAATAGGGCTAGAGAAGCGGGGAGGAAAGCTTAGACCAGTGGGGACAGGAGCAGTGGAGACAAGGATTTAAACGCAGCCGCTTTTGGCAGTGAGGGAACCGGTTGCGATTCCAGCTTTTCCCGGACCCTCAAGAGTATGCCTCATCTTTTTAGTGTCGCTGCTGGGTGGCAACAACCATCAGCAAGTGACTGGTTTATCTTTAAAGTAAAATATAATACATCTCAGGTGCCTGGGAATCACTGACACATCTGAGAGTTCATATAATTCAAATGTAAAGTTGTTATCAAATTTTTAATGGAGGTGACGCGCTTAGCTAAAACATAATCAAAGCCTCCATAGAAATAATTATATAACATTTAATAGTAAACAGTTCAGTATTCATAAATTAAAAGCTGTATAAAGCAATCAATGTATACAATTTTAAAACAAGGAAGAGAGCTAATTTTCATTCATCTATTTCTATATAAAAAGTTTAGATCTTCTAATTGTGATTTTAGAATGTTTTGCATGTCACTTCATTTACCTGCAGTGATCATGGATTTAAAGCATGACTTCTGGTCTATCCGAGGCCACAGGATATACTTTGCCTTTGGTCTTTTGTGTCGCAAAGTTAGGAAACACAGAGTTAGACTCATTCCAGTCGCCATAGGAACCACAAAGCAGTTGGCCACTGAATGGACACCTACAAATAAGAAGTGAAACATAAGTTATACCATAACATTACCCAGCATCCTTCTAGAAAAAATAAATAAATAAATAAACCCTATTTCTACCAAATCCTAAAACAACAGTCATGAGTGCTTCCTTTTCCCGCTCTCGATCTCAGGAAGCTCACTGCCCAGTTCACCCCCGGATCCATTCAATCCTAAGGACTGTCTGCATTTTGTCTTTTCAGAAGTTACTTGAGAGGGGCAGCCACAACTCGGGATGCCCACATGCCCTTCCAGAGTGCCTGGGATTGAGTCCTACCTCTACCTTCAACCCAGCTTTCTACCAAGGTGCCTAGAGGCAGCATACAATGGCCAAGCACTTGCATTCTTCCTACTCACATGAGAGACCCAGATGGAGTTCTGGTTCTTGGCTTCTGCCTGGCCCTGCCCTGGCTGCGGCAGATACCAGAGAATAAATGAGTAAATGGAAGATTATCTATCTATCTATCTATCTAATATCTCTCTCTCTCTCTCGCCTTCCCACAGTCCGTCCAGAAGAAATTTTCTACCTACTGGTCGACCCTAAAAGCAACCATACAGCCAGGACTAAACTAGAAGCCAGGAGCTCCATCCTGGTCCCCATGTGGATGACATGCTTTTCCCAGGCCATTCAAAGGAAGTTGGATAGGAAGTGGAACAGCTGGCACACAAACCAGTGCCCACAATGGGATGCCAGCACTGTCAGCAGCACCTTAACCTCTGATGCCACAATGCCAACCTCTCTTTGTCTCGTATCTGTCATTCTGCCTATCATTTTTTTAATCTTCAAAAAAGATTTTAGTAGCTATATGGCAGCACAGCTTAATCCACACTTGCAGCACAGTGCCAGTTCAAGTCCTGGCTGCTTTGCTTCCAATCCACTCATGCTAAAGCAGCCAAGAAGGCAGCAGAAGATGGCACAAGTCCTTGGGTTCCTAATGCCCAAGTGGGAGACCAGGATGGAGTGTGCGGCTCTTGGCTTTGGCCTAGCCAAAACCTAGCTCTAAGGACCATGTCAGGAGGGAACCAGCAGATGAAAGATCGATCTCTCTCTTTCTCTCTCTGCCTTCTAAATAAACAAATCAATTTGACCCAAATCTACTCCCTGTTTTTGTAAACAGACATCAGTACAAAAATTAGGCAGAGGTGGCGCTAACTAGTCAGTAACAAGCATTATGATGAACACAGTACATACCGGCCAACTTTATGATATCCAGGACCAAAGAATTGGTAATTTTGTTCAAAAGGCTAGAGCCTGCAGCTTTTGGTTGCACAGCAGAAATATCTCCAGATCGTCCAATTCCATGAATAAACCTAAGCAAGAACATGGGCCCCAAACCAGAGAAACACATTCAGTGTTCTAGGTGATCCAATGTATACATATAGAAATATAATAACCAGAAAAGCACCAGAAGCAGAATTTGGCTGTTGTAGATCTATCTGCTAAACCACTGACAATATTTAAAATACTCTATTTGTACAGAAACACCTTCAACAGTTCTGCTAGGATACCACGTCTCAAAGATGGCCTTGTTCCCTTTCCTCCCTCGGCTCCTACAGTACCGCACACCAAGAAATGAGTCTAACTCCCGTCCATGCAAGTCTGGGCTGGCCTCAGTGGCTGACCGGGCCAGGAAGACCCTCGCAGAAGTCGCTGTGTGGAACTACTAGGCTAGTCCCTAGGCTTTCAGCAGTCCTCTCTAAAGGGCTTGCTCTCAGAACGCCCCTCTCACACACCAGGGGCGAGGACAGAAGGGGTCCCCGCCACAAGCACACACCCACCAGGCTCCCAGCCACATGAGTCACATTACCTCGAGTACACCCCACTACCTGCAGATAACTAAACTCAGCCAACATCTGAATACAAAAGGACCCTACTGTGCCTAAAACTATGAGAAATACTGAGCTAGTTTAAGCCACTAAGTCTTGGGGTGGTGTCTTATACAGCAATACAAAACTAGGATATGGGCAATAATCAATTCTCTTTTTCTGTTTCCCTAACCAGACTAGTGGGTCAAGTTTCGATGGGGATGAGTCAAAAACTGCCTTAATTTTGAAAGAACTACATGTTCCTTAAAAACTAGTGTGCAAATCCACACTAGACTGGATGACATATACACTATATAGATACCTCTGACTAGTCTTTAAAATAAAGAAGTCCTTTTGTTACTGAAATAATTTGTAAGAGTCAAACAGAGGAGAAATCCTAATATGACCATCACCCAAGCCCTGGCTGTGCTCGCTTACCACTGAAGCCTCACATAAAGTACAACAGCACATTACTCAGGAAACGCTCCCTTAAGTTCTATACTCACTGGCATTAGTTCTACATTATCTTCAGTTCTGCCAAAAAAACAAACCAAAAGGGGAAAATTTCTTTTATTTGAAAGGCAGAGTGACAGCGAGCAAGAGAGATCTTTCATTAACCAGTTCATTTGTCCAAAGCCCCAACAGCCCGGGAAGGGCCAATCAAAAGCCAGGAAGGAGCCTGGAACCCGGCCCAGGACCGCCGGATGAGTAGCGCAAACCCAACCACTTGAGCCATCCTCCGCTGCTTCCCAGGAGCACTGAGTGGACTGGAGGTGCCTCGGAGCTGTAAGTAGCTATAACTTGCGCAATACTTCCATGAGGGTTGCGGGTACTTCCAGCAGCAACCTAACACACTGCACCACAACAGCCGCCCCTATTATTATCAGTTTCAATCGCAATGGTTTAGACTGAGATAAAATGCCACTATGTCTAGCAGCATGTCATCATGATATAACACCAAAGATGACCGGAGTTTTGAAGACCGTTGACCTATCTTTCACAGAAACACCGCAGTCAAAAGGAGATACTCCTAAGTGATTATATATTGAAACCACAGCTTGTTTAATTGTTAGCAGAAGTGATGAAAAGTTTTCTAAAATAACAAAGATTTTAAAAATACAATGACTTAAAATCTAACACGCCTCTTCCTATATCCATTGCAAGAAAAAGAGGTGCTTCTAACACAACCATAATTAATGTTCTGACTGTATGTCAGTCACTCTCCAACAAAGCCTGCCTGCCCTGTGAGAAGACATGTATGGAAAACTGCAAAGAGCCTCAATGTGTTTAAACTCTCACAACCAAACAGGCTGCTTACACTTCACGTTCTCACCAGAACAGACTGCCTGAGCTAACAACCCAGACCAGCCAGCGGAAGGGCCAAAGCCCAGGGTTTCTACCGTACGGTTCTTGAAAAGCACCTGCTCAGGCAAACTGTCTCCATCTCCCAGCAGCAACTGGAAGTAGGAATAGGAAAAAAAAAAAAAAAAAAAGTGGCTTACAGCTTACAATTTAATAGGATGCATACTGCCACCAGTCCCCTTAACCAACATTATAAACAGGAATTTTCACATGCCGGGATAAAACAATTTACCTGTAATGCCGACGAGCGACCAGGGCAGACGCCACTCGCCCTTCCCTCTCCCCCACACCACAGTTGCTCAGGAAATTGTTGCTATCCATGACCGCCAGTTCGTGCAGGAAGAGTTCCAGCGTAGTTTCATCCCAACCGTCCTCCGGGCATTTGCCCTTGGGGGCAGGGGAGAGAGGAGAGGAAAAAATTAAGTTTATAATTATATTTAAGAGAACCAACAATTTCTAAAATCCCTCAGCGATAAATTGTCAACTGCTTCACGTGTACTTTGCCATACTCTTTGCTACCCAAACTTCAGACATTCAGCATCACCAAGAAACTTCCAGCGGGCTAATTATCAACAAACAGAAGATGCCCGGCTAAAACGAAGCTTATTCCGATTTGCAATTTAAAGTAACCGAATGCTCAAACACACTTCAACCCAAGGATTCATGACCAAGGGTGGTCCAACTGGAGAGAAACTCCACGAAGGGACGCTGGCAGGGGCGAGCCCTGCGCCCTGGGTGGATCCGGGAAGTGGCCGCCCCGTGGCTTGCAAACATCAGGAGTGCCCCGGGTCCTCGGGGGATGGCGAGGCGCGGACTTTGCCCATTCCGCAAAGTACGGCAGCCGGGCTGTGGGTCGCTCCGGCTCGCCGCAGGCAGACAGCCCCGGCCCCGCCGCCCCTCAGGGACGCCCTCGGCGCTCCGCGGGCTCCGGCCACGCCGCGCCGGGAGCGGGGGACCTGCCTCAGCGCAGCGGGGCCGCGACGGCCGCCCACCGGCCCCTCGCTAACCTTCTCCAGCAGCAGCCGAATGAGGTGCTCGTGCGAGCGGCGGGCCTCACAGCCCTGCCGCACGTAAGCCGGAGACACCAGCCGCTCGCTGGCCGTGAAACTCTCGCGGTTCATGGCCCCGGCTCGGCACGACCCGCTGACTCGCCGGCCACCGACGGAGCTGGCAGGCGCCTCTACCCCCTGGACGGTACGGCAGGGCCCTGGGGCCAAAAATAAATAAAAACCAACGCCACTACACAGCACGCCTGGCGCGGGCGCATGCGCAAACGGCCGGATCGGCGGTTGAGGGTTTGCGCGTGCGCAAGAGGGGCCGCGGGAAGAAGCAGATCCTAGGCTTGCCCCGTCCGCGCTCGGATTGGCTTGATAAAACTCTAGATTCCGGAGGCAGAGAAGATTAGGCCAGCAAGGAAGGGGTTTGCACTTGGACTTGACCCAGAGTAGTAAAGTGCAGTTGCAGGGGGCAGCTGTCAAGAAAAATGTACTGAATTCGCCTTTCGGTGCTGTTGTTGCTGTTGTTGGACGGTGGAGATTTGCACCATCTGTGTCACTCTTAGACATCAAGCTTCCAGAACTTTGCGTGTTTGCCTTTACGCAGTTCAACATTAACCACCCTTCAGCAATCCCCTGCGATTGAGCAGTGCCCACACCAGATCTTCAAACAGTCGAATTTACCGCCCCCTGTGACACCACCCATACCACCAGATGTGATAAACTGGACTGGCACCGCTGAAGGTAAATTCTCTAAAGGAAAGGCCCTGGTTTTACTGTCCGCAGAGAACAGGTACGAAACAAATCACAGTGCTGAGGCGACAGGTTAGATGGAGCATTGCACAACCTAGCAGTAAGTTCTGGAGGGTAATAGGACCAGACCCCTGGCTTGGATTCCCTGCAGTCTATTCCTGAGCTGAGCCTAAAGTCAGCCCTGACATTGTGTGACCAAGGGTGTGCTAGAACCTGCGTGCATTGATTCACACTCAATTGCAAGAGCTGATAGTTTTGTTATCTAGTTTTTAAATACAGCCTTTGTTAAAAATTAAATAATCTAAGTGTAAGCTTTCTACTAAAAACAAAATAAATAAACATTAAAAAAAAAACTCAGCACTTCCTGATTGTCTTAGTATTACCTACACTTAAACATTTACTCATTTATTTGTTTGAAAGAGCCACATGGGGGGTGGGGTGAGAGAGAGATTGCCTGTCTGTTCGTTGACTCCTCAGATGGCCACAGCATTCAGGGCTGGGTCAGCTGAACCCAGCAGCCAACAGGAATTTCATCCAGCTCTCCCACATGAATGAAAGGGGCCCAAGCTCTTGGGCCATCTTCCTCTGCTTCCCAGGCCATTAGCAAGGATTAAAAGCAGGGCAATTTAACTGTAGCAGGGGCATTTACACCAAATAATCTACAGGTGCTACCAATTGCACGTGAACAACAAGGATTATATGGTTCCACAATATTCAATTCATAGTACAGTTGTATCTCTCTAGACACACTTTTTTGCATTCTCCATTGCACTTGACCTATAGAGGCCTCAGCACTCTACGTAACATTGTGTGGGCTTAAAGGTTTACTGATGTAGGAAAAAATGTTGTGTCTACCTGAAAAGTAGACATACCCTACCAAACTGCTACCCACTGCCCCCAATATCTCTTGAACACAGAGGAAAGGAAGGGTTTAAAGCAGGCGTTGAAAGTCTCAAACCCAAAGGTTATCTTCTATCCTGCACTAGAGTTCATAATATCCCCGTCTCATCAGTAAAGACTCTGCGTGGCTGAGGGTATTGTGCAAGAGCTCAGGACAATCAAGGATTTTTCTCCCTTGACTGCCAGTATGTCCAAACCCGAATGTTATGGTCTAGGTTTTCTTAGGTTCTTGCCTTTTACTTAAAAAGCATTTTATGCACAGGAACCAACATGGCATAAACAAGTAGTAAAGTTTATTCAGGAGGTGAAAAATGGAAACTAACCATGTAAAAGGTGGTAAGGTAGAGAGATTGATGCATTGAGTCCTAAGGAAAAGGAAATCGCTACTTTTTTCTGAGTCTGCCCACACAATACACAGAACAGAGAAGAGAGACAGAGAAAAGCCCCACCAATGAAGCTGTGCCCAAGGCTGCCAAGGCCAGAAGAGCCTTGATGGGCCAAAAGCCCAAACCTCTCCTTGCTCAGGCTTGAGAGGGAATAACCGATCACAGTGCAGCCCTGCCCCTTGCCCAAGTCCCAGGTAATGATGGGTACACATAGGTGGGTGAAAAATATTACACAGAGTAAGTGCGGCTTCCAGATTCCTATCCTAAAGTAACTGCCTAGACCATATCACAGTGTCTTGGCACCAATTCCTCCTAAAATCATTAGGGTTCACAGTAATGTGTCTTTGCTTTGCCTTTTTCAGTGTGGCTCCAGACCACATGTGCAACAGTCAGCACTGCTGGGCTTTCTCCTAGGAAAGTCAGCAAAGCCCCTGGACAGTCATGCCTTGGGAACTCACTGAAGCTGTTTTTCCCAATTCTTCAAACAAGCTGTGAATGAACTGAATTTCTCTTGTGAATCAGTTCTAGTACACTATAGAGATGATCTCTGGCCTTTTTCTCATGTTTGTGCGAGCACTCTGTCTCCTTCTTCTCTTCTACTGCCCCTTCTTCCTGCTCCTCCCAAACACAAAATATCCAAGCCTTAGACCTAGCGGCCAAAATGTCATCCTCTTACCTTGTGACAACAGCTACCATGAAACAAAGACTTCTCAATGCTTTGATTACACTGACTCAAAGTTCTCTAGTTGATCTCAAGATCACACACAGTGTAGATATTACATCTGGGAACACAAATCTTTTCAGCTAGTGGATTAACCTCTCGTGATGTTATTACTCCCTTCTCAAACCATTATTCATCACTGCAGCACGCTAATCCTATCACTGTTCTACTACTGAAGTTTCATATTATCTTATCTCAGCTATTAAACTGTACTACAGGGTTCCAGTGAGAATGTTGACCCAATATTATTGTTTTGATGACTTGCACCCCCAAACTGAAAATGAAGATTGTAAAGTAAAATATTCTCTCAGTAGTAATTTGGAATGCAGTCCTTTAAAAAGGGAAAAGATGAGCACAACTAGCAGGACATAGTACACGGACTAGCCCACTTACTCAGCAGCCAAGATCAGGCAGAAAGCATTAATTCAGACAGTATGCTTCTAGGATAGGATGTGACTTCGAGATGCTCTCTGAAGAGAGAAGGTTTTTCATCTCCACTGAGACTTCCATCAGAAATGGACAACAAATCAAAAACCTTCTGGGTGCACTCCTATTTCTTAGATTGTTTGTCATTGTCAAAAAGACGTCTACCAAAGGGGTAACATACAGGCTAAAGGAAGTGTTCTAACAGCATTGTGCCAAACAAGCAACCTTAGCCAATGATATGCTCCCCTTAACTCACACCCCTCCACCATAAACTTCTGGAGCTGTTTAAACAGACAATTATAATGTATCACTGTTTAACTTATGACTTTAGAGATGAAGAATGGGAAAATTCTGGTTTTATTCCTCATTCAGTTAATCTTCGAAATCCTAAAACCATCCTTCAGTAGCACAGATGACTTGCACTAGAAATTAAATATTTCTTTGGGTACTATAAAAAGCTGAGGTTATTGGAGGGGGGAGTGGTTTCATGTGTTAGCTGTCAACAACATAATCCTGGAAAATCCAAGGAAGTGGAACGTGGCCCAGATTCAAAGCCTCAACCACTGTTTTTAATATCTTCAAACTAACTTCTCAGATATTGTACATCTGTTTACAGAGTGGCCTGCAGTGTTTCCTTGCCAAAAAGCTACTGCCCTTATAGTCTCTAAAAACAGGTTGGTTTATATTTCCAATCTGGATCAAAACAAATTTGATATCATGTGACCAAGCCACATACTATATGGAAACTTTTTAAGGTATCACCCTTTACCAAAAAAATACATTGTCCTCATTACCCAAAATATTTTGGAAAGATTGAAAAGAACTAGCAACATCCTTAACTTTTTATATACAAAGCTTTAGAAGTGTGTCTTCCTATTCCTTTTATGGAGAAGACATCCTTTGTGGCCTGGACATCCAATCCTCTTGCCTCAGACTAACAACTGATGCATTTTAGGAACAGTCTTCTAAATACATGCACAAAAAAAAAAAAATCCATAAGTCACCAAGAATAAAAACCTTGACTTATGTGTGAGCTCAAAAACACACCACCAGGGCCTGGCGCGGTGGCGCAGTGGTTAAGGTCCTTGCCTTGCATGCCTGGGATCCCATATGGGCGCCGGTTCTATCCCGGCAGCCCCGCTTCCCTTCCAGCTCCCTGCCTGTGGCCCGGGAAAGCAGTCGAGGATGGCCCAAGGCTTTGGGACCCTGCACCCGCGTGGGAGACCCAGAAGAGGCTCCTGACTCTGGATCGGCATAGTATCGGCCATTGCGCTCACTTGGGGAGTGAATCATTGGACGGAAGATCTTCCTCTCTGTCTCTCCTCTCTGTATATCCGCTTTTCCAATAAAAAAATAATAATAAAAATAAATCTTAAAAAAAAAAAAACAACCCACCACCAGTAACTGCACAGGCACTTCGGGGAAGTTGCAAATTCCTGTGTGTGCTCTGTTCCCTGTAGTGAAAAGGGTCCCACTAAAAGATGGTAAGAAACTTACCCTAACACAAGCAAGGGTTAGTAGTGAGGAACAGAGACCTGTGGCAGTCCTTTGGCACAATCAGAGATGGACAGTCGCTTCACTGTGGCTTTCTTGTTGGTGACAGTGACACCCCTGCTACAGATGAAATGTCTCATTGTACTCAGAGCAATGAAAAAGGGGAAGTAGAAACAGCTACTGTTAGCCTTAAGGAAGAAGCAACTTGGCTGACGTAGGTTGTTCTCATGGCCTATAAGTTTTATTCTGTAGGGCTGGGTTGCACAATCAGGTCCTAACTCTGAAGTATCTTAAGAGATCTACTCTACTACTTGTTCTTTTTGTCAGAATTTTTGTGATCCTGGCATCTTAAATTCCATTGCAGCCATCCTCCCATTAGATTATCATGATGATGATAACATCGCAAAGATCAAAATCTCTATATTTGTGTCTCTGTCAAATATAAGAGATGGTGAATGACTCTATTCCCATAGTAAGTTTTGAGTAAATATCCTGGTTGTT